GCAACGACGCAACGACGCACGGTGATGAATGCGACACGAACGCTAAACGTGACCTCAGACTCCATTGGAACCTCATTTGCCAGTAAAAAATATGATAATTGGTTTTTTATCCTTCTATCTGGCAAAAAAACTGACACCTTTTTTACAAGGAGTCATGTTTGCATAGACCACAATACCTGCAGTCGTAATGCAAACAAAAAACATAACTCAGACAGTGCTATATTATGAGAGTTATGTTTTTTGTTTGCATTATGACTGCAGGTATTGTCGTCTATGCGAACATGACTCCTTGTAAAAAAGGTGTCAGTTTTGTTGCCAGATAGAAGGGTAAAAAAACAATTATCGTGACCTCAGACTGTCACCGAGGACACGATATTAACTTGAGACGACCGACGCTGCGGGTGCGTGTGTTGGGGGTGGACGGGAGAAGTGGTGGGGGAGGAGGAGAAGTGGGGGGCGGGGAGGTAGAGACGCAACCGATGAGAGAGCGCTTCGGGGGCTTACTGCAGCAAAAGTTGTTCCAAGGACACACGCACAAAAGAGCGCAGTCTTCCGCCAAGGGTAAAACAAACGTCCCCCATGCCGTGTAGCCTCCGAGGGGCTGTTAGGGGGCGCAAGTGCTACTCGGCGAATGATCACTCACAAAGGCAAAAACCTCCCCGTGTCGCCTCTAACGCGCGGCTGGGGCAAAGCGCTGTTTGCGAGCACCTCTGTGTTGATATTTAAAATGACGGTGATGCTGCTGCTGCTGATGTCGCTCCTGCAGCGTTGGCGGTGGTGTACGAGTAAACACGCCACCGTGGCTAGGAAATGTGAACTATCTCGCCTGGGCTACAGGAAAGTCGTGGGTTCGATCCCGATACTGACGCCTGCTGCTATATATATGGAGTTTGCGGTGTCTCTCTCTCTCTCATCATCATCACCGTGGCTAGGAAATGTGAACTATCTCGCCTGGGCTACAGGAAAGTCGTGGGTTCGATCCCGATACTGACGCCTGCTGCTATATATATGGAGTTTGCGGTGTCTCTCTCTCTCTCATCATCATCACCGTGGCTAGGAAATGTGAACTATCTCGCCTGGGCTACAGGAAAGTCGTGGGTTCGATCCCGATACTGACGCCTGCTGCTATATATATGGAGTTTGCGGTGTCTCTCTCTCTCTCATCATCATCACCGTGGCTAGGAAATGTGAACTATCTCGCCTGGGCTACAGGAAAGTCGTGGGTTCGATCCCGATACTGACGCCTGCTGCTATATATATGGAGTTTGCGGTGTCTCTCTCTCTCTCATCATCATCACTGTGGCTAGGAAATGTGAACTATCTCGCCTGGGCTACAGGAAAGTCGTGGGTTCGATCCCGATACTGACGCCTGCTGCTATATATATGGAGTTTGCGGTGTCTCTCTCTCTCTCATCATCATCACCGTGGCTAGGAAATGTGAACTATCTCGCCTGGGCTACAGGAAAGTCGTGGGTTCGATCCCGATACTGACGCCTGCTGCTATATATATGGAGTTTGCGGTGTCTCTCTCTCTCTCATCATCATCACCGTGGCTAGGAAATGTGAACTATCTCGCCTGGGCTACAGGAAAGTCGTGGGTTCGATCCCGATACTGACGCCTGCTGCTATATATATGGAGTTTGCGGTGTCTCTCTCTCTCTCATCATCATCACCGTGGCTAGGAAATGTGAACTATCTCGCCTGGGCTACAGGAAAGTCGTGGGTTCGATCCCGATACTGACGCCTGCTGCTATATATATGGAGTTTGCGGTGTCTCTCTCTCTCTCATCATCATCACTGTGGCTAGGAAATGTGAACTATCTCGCCTGGGCTACAGGAAAGTCGTGGGTTCGATCCCGATACTGACGCCTGCTGCTATATATATGGAGTTTGCGGTGTCTCTCTCTCTCTCATCATCATCACCGTGGCTAGGAAATGTGAACTATCTCGCCTGGGCTACAGGAAAGTCGTGGGTTCGATCCCGATACTGACGCCTGCTGCTATATATATAGAGTTTGCGGTGTCTCTCTCTCTCTCATCATCATCACTGTGGCTAGGAAATGTGAACTATCTCGCCTGGGCTACAGGAAAGTCGTGGGTTCGATCCCGATACTGACGCCTGCTGCTATATATATGGAGTTTGCGGTGTCTCTCTCTCTCTCATCATCATCACTGTGGCTAGGAAATGTTAACTATCTCACTTGGTCTACGGAAGGTCGTGGGTTCGATCCCGACCCTGATGCTGTATAGTTTGAGTTTGAGTCTCTCTCTCTCTCTCCGTGGTCGCGTGGATTTTTCTCCAGGTCCTCCGGTTTTTTTCTCCTCCACATTTCGAATCAACTTCACGCGTTCAGAGTATTTGTCTGCTGTGTAAAATTTCCCCACGGCGATGATAAATTAGCCACTTCGTTGAGCTTTCATTTGTGATAGCCAGGTAGCTTCTGAAAACTAACAAAAATAGGTCCATGAAATATCTCAGTAAGTGGGCCTTGACCCGGTAAATATTTTTTTTTAATCCGTTACCAGCGTATAGTTTAGTCTTTGGAGGCGGCGATGCTCGTGAGCGGCACGAGGGGGTGCCCTGAGCTTATGATGGATGCAGTCACTCTCCACGTGCAGCACCGACACCACCACCGCCACCACCACCGACACCACCACCACCACGAGCCGCCCAGTGATCCCCACGCAGCCAGCTCAGCCAGCCCTCGTATTACATCGGCAGATTCACACAACGCGATTTATTCACCAATGACTCTCACGGATGATGTAATTTCATACTCATCAAATGTGAGAAATAAAATGCACGAATAATTAACGTCAATATTTAACAAATTTTTTTTTATTAGCTTTTACCAATTGTCAATTTTGCAAGGCATATCCCTAACTCGCTCAGCAAACTGCAAGCGAATAAAAAAAATGCGCGTCACGTTATTTGTTCACGCTCGCTGGCTTTATTTACAATCGATGAGTTTAGAAATGTCTTTTAAAACGTTCTAGGTTATCGCGTGGAGTTCAATTTCACCGTAGTTATTTTACATTGGCAGATTCACGCAACGCGATTATTCACCGACGACTCGCGCGTATGATATAATTCCACACATTTATAAATCACCCCACGTACTCCCCCCCCCCCGCCGCCCCCCTGGGACATTGCCACGCGTACCCCCACGGGGGTCCGCCTACCCCCTGTTGACAACCACAGGTACCCGAGGGGGTGACTAACACCCCCCCCCCCCACGACGCAATTAAGCGCACGTGTTTATCGAAATTATTTTGAGCAAAACACAACGGAGGGCGAGAAGTCCAGCAGCGGCAGGGGTCACGCGCGCGCGCCCGTGACCCCTGACCTTCGCGGAGTACGTCTTGACGGCCACAGTATGCTCAGAGCCGCTGCCGTCCACAGCCCCCCAGTGGAAGTGGAACTGCTTCAGCTTGTACGGGTTGGGCAGGGGCCCCCCACTCAGCACTGCAAAGACAAAGACAAAGATCCCCACCCCTCGTGCCGTTTGCGAGTTGGCGTCTGCGAAAGGCCGGCACGGCACAAGAAGGAGTAAGGGGGGGGGGGGCTGGGCAAGCAACACCACGCCCGGCCGCCTTTGTCTCCCCCGGCAGTGTCGACGTTTACCCACAGGAACCAGGCACTCGTTTTGAGGCTGAGTCGACCTAGGTGAGGCCCGGGACAGGTTTGGACAAATCGCCGTTGAACCACCCCCCCTCTAAAACTCGGTGCGTAGCCTTCGACCCTTCGGGGGTCGCCGTGATGGGTTCTGTGGTGAGGAGTTGGAACTCGCGTGGTGAGTTCTGTAGTCACGAGTTGGAACTCTCCGTGATGAGTTCTGACTGTGGCCAGGAGTTGGAACTTGCCGTGATGAGTTCTGACGTCAGGAGTTGGAACTCGCGTGGTGAGTTCTGTAGTCACGAGTTGGAACTCTCCGTGATGAGTTCTGACTGTGGACAGGAGTTGGAACTCGCCGTGATGAGTTCTGACGTCACGAGTTGGAACTCTCCGTGATGAGTTCTGTGGACAGGAGTTGGAACTCTCCGTGATGAGTTCTGACTGTGGACAGGAGTTGGAACTCGCCGTGATGAGTTCTGTGGACAGGAGTTGGAACTTTCCGTGATGAGTTCTGACGTCACGAGTTGGAACTCTCCGTGATGAGTTCTGTGGACAGGAGTTGGAACTCTCCGTGATGAGTTCTGACTGTGGACAGGAGTTGGAACTCGCCGTGATGAGTTCTGACGTCACGAGTTGGAACTCTCCGTGATGAGTTCTGTGGACAGGAGTTGGAACTTTCCGTGATGAGTTCTGACGTCACGAGTTGGAACTCTCCGTGATGAGTTCTGTGGACAGGAGTTGGAACTCGTCGTGATGTGTTCTGTGGTCACGAGTTGGAACTCTCCGCTCCAGACGCCAGCCATGCCACGCGACGAACGCGATTCGAGCTCGACCCAGAGTCGTGGATGTGCGGGCCCATTGTTGACTGCGGCGCGAGATAACAGAGACAAAGGTTCGCCCCCCCCCCCCGGTGTAGCCTCAACAGACTGTTGGGGCAAGTGCTGTTAGCGAGCAGCACCACGCCCGGCCGCCTTCGTATCTCCATTGGCGATGTTTACCACGCACCGCACCGGGTACACATTTGAGGCTGAGTCGATCTAGGGTGAGGCCCAGTAGGGCCGGGTCAGATAATCGTCACTGGGTGTTGGTGGTGGCCGTGAGTGAGAATCGAACTCGGGTTCGTCGGGCTCGGAGCGCAGCGTGGCGCTAACCACTGCGCCACCACTCCCCCACTCCAAACGCACAGTCACCGCCGCAGCAGTCAGTCTCACGCAGTCAGTCTCACGCAGTCAGTCGCAAGTCACAACGATCCAACCCAGTCTCTCGCACAGGATGATTGCGCAAGGCACCTTCCAAATTAATTCTCGCCCCGCCTCCTCCTCCTCCACCGCCCCCACCCCCCGGCCCCTGTCTGTGCTCTAAAGCCGCTTGCAAAAAGCCGCCGGGACTCGAGTAGAAGAAGTTCGCTCACAAAGCCAGGGACCTCACCCTCCTCGTGTGCGTCCACGCATCAAACCTCCCCACCGCCTCCTCTTCGCGTTCCACCTCTCCCTCGCTCGCTCGCCCTCTCTCTCTGTGTCTCTCTCTGTCTCTGTGTCTCTCTGTGTGTCTGTCTCTGTCTATCTCTCTCTGTCTGTCTGTCTCTCTGTCTCTCTGTCTGTCTGTCTCTCTGTCTCTCTGTCTGTCTGTCTCTCTGTCTCTCTGTCTGTCTGTCAGCCCAAGGGCGCTCGTGCCAACGCAGAGTTTTTGCTCGTCAGAGTTCAGTTCGCAATGTCCGGACATCAATGGGGGTATGGCGAGAAGAACGGTGAGTTCGCTACTCTCGATCTACCGTGTGCGCTCGACGTTCATTTTGATGTCTCGTTTCGTTGTTGTTGTTGTTGTTGTTCGCTGATTGTTGTTGATTTCGCTGAGAGGAAGAGCAGGTGGGGGAAAGATGCAAGCTCTCGAAATCACATAAGCGCCTTTTTCTCTCTCTCTCTCTCTCTCTCCGTGGTGGTACTGCGTTGTCACCGGTGCACACATTCCACGTTCCCATGACGGGGAACGTGTTTTTGATTTTCCCGTACGTGTAATTATAACTGAACACTTTCGTCAGTTCACACTGCCCTAAAATGACGACATATAGTTGGCGACGTTTCAGGCAATGGCTCTTCATCGTAGCGGAGAGGAAGCTTGTAGATGTTGTGAGTCTACTCTCAAGCTGAAGTCGTAATTAATTGGCACGGTTTGTTTCAGTGACAAAGCTCACTCATTGGTTGTGTCGGGTGGTGGTGTGTTAACGAAACATTTATATTTATCTAACGCTAACAAAAAAACACTTTATTAGGGCGATTCAATTGGCGAAAACGTCGCCTATTGTTTATTTTTCCTTCGAGGGCAGAATTTTGTTCATGAGACCCAGAAAAGTGGAACCCGGTTTAGAGTTTTGCTTAAATGATTGCCCGCTGCTGTTCGAGCTAAACCGACGGGCTAAATAACACCAATAGACTTCATACATCAACGTTTATCGATGGGGGGACGTAGGTTGATTTATTTTTTTCATGACTCAATCGCCGTCAGTTTTAACAAATGTCGCATTCACTGTGGCCCAGAGGTCGCAACCGGGTACCCGATACCCGTACCCGATACCCGGCTACCCGTACCCGGCCGGGTACGGGTACGGGTAGCCGTTTCCGACCCTGGTGCGGCCGGGTACGGGTACGGGTAGGCCGTGAGTCACTGGTGAGTAACCGTTTGTCACTCATTTCGGGTAGGGTACAGGTAGGGAACGGGTACCCATTTGCGACCCTGGTGCGGCCGGGTACGGGTACGGGTAAGGAATAAAAAACCCGTTTGCGTTTTCTGCTGTGGCCTGGCAGCTGGGAGAACGGCAATGCGTGTGCCGGGTGGCCCAAAAGTCAGGACACATCGAGTTATTATATTCATGTTGGCAAGTCACGTGGGGTTGCTGAATTGATTTGAACAAATGTTCACACTGACTTCCACCAACATTGATGGGGGTGCGTGGAATGGTCGAACGTTCATGAAACTTTGTTGCTATTTATTTCCTCAATTCATCCGGTGCGCTCAGTTGATGTTTCCAAAACGACGAATTCGAGATGGTCGCCACGGGAAGGAGAAGAAAAATAGACACGAAGCATCTTCTTGGTTCTTTCGGTAAAGTCACGTAGAAGGGAAAGACAGCGTCTTTCCGACAGACCTGTTCTTCACCTGAGGACGGTTGCTTGCATTGTGGCCGAAACGTCGTGAGAATTGTATTTTATGATGTTTTATTTTTATTATTTTATTATCTCCCTTCTACGTGACTTTACCGAAAGAACCAAGAAGATGAATCCCTGCAGTCACCAAAGCTTGAAATCGAAATTTACACACGAAGCAGTGATCAAAGATAAAATATCAACTTAAACAATAATGTTTTAATGCCGGGTGTTAAAATAAATAGGGAATGCCGGGATGCCCTTGCCTGTTGGTGCCACCCGGTTCGTTAAAATCCCATAACTCCCGCGGTACGCCACGTGGGTGTTCGTGAATCCATCTGTGCGGACCGATTTAAATGATCGACGCCTCTCGCACTGGGGCTTCTTCCTCCGCGTCTCCTCTCCGGCTTTTCCTGTCCACCAAGGCCGTAGCCATGGAGTCAATATTGGGGGGGGGACCAAATCTTCCAGGGGGTATGGGGGTGTCCCCCCCCCCCCCAGTAAAAAAAATCTAAATTTGAAAACGAATTTCCTGCCTAATATATAAAAAATTTCACTAACACATAGGATGGACTTTGGATTTTTTACAATAATGTCTAACAGTGTGTTGTATTATATTGCTGTGTTTTTTTCTTTTTTATCTTTTCTTGTTTGTAATGGCAAAGATTAGGGATTAATCAAGTACAACCATAACCACAATCATATCAACAGAAATCTATTTAAAAGCAATATATTGGGGGGGGGGGGCATTTTGAGCATAGTATCATTACGGCTTTGCTTGCCCACACGCCGACGACGATCTCCGTTCTTCCCCCCGAGTGAAAGAGCACGCCCCAGAAAGTTCACCAACAAGCGGAAAGACGCGCGCACGCGCTCTGCCGCCTGTCAATGAAGCGATTCGAATGCGGCCGCGCGCACACGGGAGTGCATGTACGTATGTTGAACACACCTATGAAGAAGGTTCATTGCTCGAAACGTCGCCTATTCTATATATATATTATTTATTTATTTTTATTTTAAGACCAGACCGTTTTATTGGCGAATGTGTTGAGTTTCCTTTGTCGCATTGGAACTGCGTTGTTGTATCGTCGTGCGTGTATGTTGGACTTCTTTCGCACCGTACGCAGCCCAAACCCGGGTCGCATGATCGCATTGCTACCCTCCCGGCATCCGCACGCAGCAGCTAACGCACACGCAACGAAGTCTGCGCACACGCGTGACCACACACACGCGTCTTCTCCGCACTGCAAGTGCGCTCCGGGAAGTAAGGGCGCACCCAACGTTGCGCCCGGTGGCAATCAACTTGTACAAATCTGTTGTAGATTTGAAGTTTTCGTGACTGCAAGAATCCATACTCCTTAGTTTTATTTGATAAAGTCACGAAGGTAAAAAATTAAAAATAAATTGTGTTGCGCCCGAAACGTCGTGATTTAATTTAGTTCTTTTTCATTTTTATTTTATTTTTTTACCCACGTTACTTTACCGAATTATACAAATCTGGTCAAGACAACGACAAAGACCACCCCGTGTAGCCTGTAACAGACTGTAGGGGCAAGTGCTGTTAGCGAGCACCTATTTGAGGCCGGCACGGCACACGAGGGGGTGGGTGGGTGGCCAGCACCACGCCCGAGCGCCTTCGTCTCCTCACTGGCGATGTCCACACACCGCACTAGGTACTTATTTGAAGCTGAGTCGACCTAGGGGAGGCCCAGCACCGGTTCAGATAATCGTCGCCGGTGTTGGCCGTGAGCGGGAATCGAACTCGGGTCGCCAGGTGCGTAGCGCAGCGTAGCGCTAACCGCTACGCTACCGCACACACTCCGGTGTGGTCTCACACAACACACCACACCGCACGCACCGGATAACAGGACGCGCGCTCAAATTTTGCTTTGAAATCCAGGAGAGCGGTACGTCTTTTAATCCCATCGCCGAGGCAGCAAAATGCGCGCTTATGGCCAAAGGCCGGGTGGGTGCTCTCTCCATATCCTTTCTGTCTCTTGCGTTGTCCGCGATGCAACGGTTAGAAAATTGGAATTGAGATCCAGAGGTCGCCGCGAGGTCGATCTCGCTGCACGGTAGTTGACACAGTGACTAAGTTTCCAAACTTAAATCTACCCCCCCCAACACCGCAACCGCACACGAAGCCACCCGTCCCTCGCACCGCGCCGTCTCTCATCCACGCATCAGCGGAATAAATAGGCGGGGTCCACCAGAGTCAATCGGCGAGGTAAAGCGTGGAGTGCTCTCATCTCACCGCAGTTTCAAGACGCCTGGCCAAAGCGTGGGAGGAGTGGTTCGATCTGCCAGCGCAGCAGTTGAAACGGAGTGGACGAGGCCGGGGGGACCTTCTAGCGAAGAGCCCCGGCTCGTGGAAGCCCTTCAGCCAGCAGTGGCATAGACAAGCAATTGCAGGGCCGCGCCTTTGTCTTTGTCCAGAATAAGTTAGAATTAAACTACGTCAACATTTTTACAATTTTATTTTACCAGGTCAGGCCCACTGAGCCATGTAGCTCTTTTTCAGAAGCGACCTGGCCACAAATGATAGCTCAACGAAGTGGCTTATCACGCGGAAATGTACAGCAGCCAAATACTCTAAACGGGTGATGTTGATTTTAAATGTAGAGGGAAAAACCGGAGGTCCCGGAGAAAAATCCACGCGATCACCCACGGGGAGGGAGAGAGAAACACGCAAACTCCAAACATACAGCAGGCGTCAGGGCCGGCATCGAACCCGCGACCTCCTGCATACCAGGCGAGGTAGTTAATATCTCCTAGCCACCGTGATGATGATGAGAGAGAGAGACACGCAAACTCCAAATATACAGCAGCAGGCGTCAGGGCCAGCATCGAACCCGCGACCTCCTGCACACCAGGCGAGGTAGTTAACATCTCCAAGCCACCGTGATGATGATGATGAGAGAGAGACACGCAAACTCCAAATATACAGCAGGCGTCGTCAGGGTCGGAATCGAACCCGCGACCTCCTGCATACCTGGTGAGGTAGTTAACATCTCCTAGCCATCGTGATGATGATGAGAGAGAGAGACACGCAAACTCCAAATATACAACAGGCCGTCGTCAGGGTCGGGATCGAACCCGCGACCTCCTGCATACCAGGCGAGGTAGTTAACATATCCAAGCCACCGTGATGATGATGAGAGAGAGAGACACGCAAACTCCAAATATACAGCAGGCCGTCGTCAGGGTCGGGATCGAACCCGCGACCTCCTGCATACCAGGCGAGGTAGTTGACATCTCGCCTACCGCGGGGGAGACAAAAGGCAAAACGTAGGGCGCTCAAACGAAACGTCGGAAGGTAGTGGCCTCCCATTCATTGGCGGTCGTGAAGCGATGGTGGAAATTCCACATTCCCAGGACGGAAGACAGTCGTGCCACACGGGTGGTTATAACTCAGCGCGTTCGTCAACAGCACGAGCCCAAACGTAATAATAGCACGTGTCGTTCTCGTTTAGCGTGGCTCACGTAGATGCGTTTTCACAACTCGGTGCTCGTTTTATCGACCAGGAGGGTGGGGATGATGGCCATTTCACCACGGCGAATATTAAACGTTGAAACGAGGCAATGAGCCGCGGATGCAGGACTCAAT